CTTGAAAGGGGACAAATCCTAGCCCTGCTCATGACATTGTCTGGTCCAAAATTACAGTTACAATTAAGAACTATATTTTTGGAGGGTGTCCAAAAATAACTTCATATGCCATAAAACTTCAACAACCTCTTAGAAATTTATCTTCTGTAGAACATCTATGTGAACTAGACATACCTTCTTTATCTTTTACAAGAGACGCCACTGACATCGCTGAAACCTACAAAATACTTCACAGCCTCTATGATACTCCAAAATTTACTCTTACACTTTTACACATACGTCACTGCCTACAACCTTAGAGGAGACAACACGAAGCTTAAGGTGGCTAAATTCAAATATGTCAACTATAAAAACATCCTCGCTAACTGCATAGTTAATTACAGGAATAACCTTTTACAAGAACTCACTTCAGCCAATACTGGCTCCAAATTTAAAAGACTTAACTCTCGCCACTGTGATTTTAGATTATAAATCATTAACCTTTACTTTGCTGTAAATTAATTCAAACTTTCTGCTACGATATAAATAAATGAATAAAGTTATTTCGAGGCTCCCTCCTATTTGGATAGTCTACTATTTTCTTTTATTTATTTTATTCTTCTTTTCTTCCTGATGGTTTTATTTTATAACTCACTTATCCTTTTACTTTGGAACAAAATGTACGAAAGTATTTAATTTTTTCAAAATATCCCACCACTGGCACAGCATTCCATTTTCTCCCCTCTGCCCTTCCACTTTCATCCTCTCTCGGTCATTGAATATGTCACTCTTCCATTCAATTTTAATTGTGTTTTACCTGTTGGCATGGCTCATCTTAGTCACTATTTTAGTATGCGACTCCCTTCATTCTTATTAAATTTTTTTAAAAGTTAAAAATGATGCATTATTTCTAAATTTCATATTGATATATATTCGAGTAAGCACTTCTTGTATGCTCTGAACTATTATTATTTCCATGTTCTATTTTTGTATTATCCGATTCCATCTCAAAACACAGCTAAAATAGTTTTAGAATGTTCATAGATTGTAATTTTTTTTTTATATCTAGCCTTTCAAGGGACCTGAAGATGTGATTAAGCCATTGATTCCCACATTACATAAACATAAAGCATTGTTAAATATTTTCTTGCATCCATGATTCATTGAGTATATTTATAATGTTTTTTACAGTAAACATATTCCATAAAGAGTTTAAAACTATTCTTATTTTATAACCTTAAAATATGAATACTTTTAAAAAATTTTTTTTCCATTAATACAATGCCTTATTGTATATATTTCTAAGAATTCTCATCTTTTGATCTACAAACAATGAATGAGTATATGACTTCTCATCACACTCCAAACTATATTATGAAAGATAGATAAATAATATTATGAAAGATTTAGTACTTTTAATAATATTATGAAGCATTTGCTTTTTAAAACATCATAGCCAAATAAATATTGGATTGTGATTTCGCAACGCTGGAATTTTCCTGGCAAATTTGGAAACGGATGAATTGCAAAACTGAGCTGCGACAAACGATATGTAGGGGCATATTTCAAAGGAAACATGATAAAGTACAGATGAACGTGCTATCTTTGGATGGTTCTGTTGACGGATTTGTCAAAGAAAATAATCTCTGTATTTTTCTAGGCACTCAAAAAAGACATTGTAGAATTATGTCTTCTTATAAGAAGCAATTTGTGCCATCTTCTGAAGATTCTGATTATACAGAAAGTAAGTCTTTAAATGGGTTTGAAGATATAAAAAGATATCTGCACCTATTGGTAAAAAACTCCTTAGATAAAGAAAACAAATTTGCAAAACTGAGCCCATTCTTTGATAAAGTGAACAACAGACATTTGCCATTCAGCATGATTAGCAACAATGTATCAGTACAAATGAGTAAATAGTTTCATACTTGGGGCGACACAGAACTAAAATATGAGAAACTTCTACAATTTGGTTTCAAGTGGTGGTGTACATTGATAGGATTCTTGAAACCATTTTATGCTCTTGAGAGGGTGTCACAAAAGAGACAAATGTTTGGCCTTAAATGAAGAAGTAATTTGTATTTTTACAAAAATTGTTAATCACAAATTGTTACCAGAATGACACATGCTGTTCTTTGGCAATCTTCTACATGCATCACACTCTTTTTTGTTATTATCAGAAACTTATTCCTTTGCAAACGGAATTCGGGTAGTTGAAAAAGAAGGGCACCAGACTGTTCAATTCAAACCCTTTAAAAATTGTTATAAAAAAATAGTGTATGGTTTGGAAATATTTCATTTGATGACAGATAATGAGATTTTGATCTGTTAGATGGGCTGATTGTATTGGAATATTTACATTTGAGCAACAGAAAAGACTTCAAGTTGGACTGATTCCAAGTCCTAAGTAATACTCTCTTGAGAGAAGTGAGGGGCTTCTAACTAAAATACAGGTACTGGAAACCCAAATTGATATTTAGAGCACTACAGCAAGAAGAGTTTGACAGCCAGTAAAAATGTTCTTCTTGACCACATCAACAGTGGCCAAAAAGAATGCATGCAAACAACATAAAATTTATAATGGCTGGCAATTATTTGATGTAAACGTTTCAAATACATTTTACTTTCAAATTTTTTATACCTTCATGCATAAATTTTTCTGTTTTCATACAGGTAAATTAGTGAACATTAATTGAAAAAATACATATTTCATTAAACGTTATCTGCATTCTTTCTTTTTTTCTTGAATATTCCCTATGTTCCGTCCCTATGTAGAATGTTCCGTCCAGCTTCACTCTCGTACCAAAATATTTTTAGGAAACTGGTTTTGTTACCTTTGGGGATATATTATCAATATTTAACTGAAATTTATGGAACAAATTACATATTTGCTTGGGAAGAAACGGGTTAACCAAACCATAGTTTTCATGATCTTTGCACCTATATGTGAATTAATAAAGTAATCTTTTGAAAGGAAAACAAAGTGTTGATTGTCATTAATAAATCCAGAACACTTTTTGAAAAATAAAAATAAGACTAGGATTCTACTGCCTTCTCAAAGGAGAAGATGCTTTATTAACACTTCAAAATGGCACAAGGCACTCAAAGCAATGGACTAAATTATTATACTGCAAAGACAACCAGAATTAATTAAAAAATTATAAAATACACTAGAATGATCATGCACTAGAATAATTTTTAACATCAGTTAATTAAGAAAATTACTGCAACATGTGATATACACTGCAATTACCAGCGCAATTAAAGTTTCATTTTAACCACTTGTGTCTTGATAACTAATTGTTCAGTTTTCCAGTACTTATAAAATCCTTTCTTTACACTACAAATAAACATTTTATTATTTTCTTTCTATTTCACCATCTCAATTTTTTTTTCGGGTTATCCGAAATTCCAGATTTGCAGGGTTCAGGTTTGAGAGGTCCTTGTGTATACCTAAAGTGAAATTATCGACACTATTGAAAGAATAGGACTGAACTGAACAGCAAAATAATAGCAGAAGAAATAGCCATCTCAACTAAACCCACATTACTGAAATTCTGAACTATAATTCAATCGGTTATTTTAAAAAACCTGCAAAGCAAGAAGTTTTAAAGTTGTGGGAAAAGAAGAAAAGCTGAATAATTAATTACATATATCTTTTCTTTGCCTTTTTTTTTTCTCCTCATGCAAAAATCTCAATTGAGAATGCTATGGAGACAAGTAATTTGTATCAATAGTACAATAGTTGCTGTACTTATTTAAAAGTTTATGACTTACAAGATTTCAAAAACTAATCATGAGTTTTTTATCTAAGCATGTAAATAAACACATATTGCAGGTTTAGTTTACAATTTGACACATTTATTACTATATTATGTAAAATTACAATGTATATGATTTGTATGACAGAAGCAGATGCTTGTCATACGATAGTATTTTTCTACGAAAGTACACTGGAATATTTCCATATTTAATACCCCTTTAAACCAATCCCAATCTCTCTAAGAGACACTTTGCAGTGTCCTCATGGCCATTCTATTCATCTGATTTATGTGATTTACACATGGAATGATGCATCTATTCTCCAGCTTCCATTTCCTAACAAAAACCAAAAACACAAAAGAGAGTGACTTACGTACGAGGTAAAATAACCGATTCAATTGCTATCCCCTCATTCCTCTATATAGAGAACCATACTGTAGTGAAGTAATTTCAGTTACAAGAAACAGATACATTTCTACATGGCAAGATAGGAGTATAAAGAAGTACAAACTTTGCCAAATTGTGTATATTTTTTACCCATACAAATAAATTACTTTTAAACGAAAATAAACTGTTTCCGTCTGCTGAACTTTTTTCCTCTGGGTGGCTACTCATTTCTTGGAATCAATTTCTTTGATTTTCCAGTGATTAAAAAAAAAAATTCCTGAAAAGATTTGTAATTTCACACTTCTTAAACCTAACTACATACTAAAGCCCTAGATACCAATTAACCAACTATCTGATTTTACCATCATAAAATATAAATTAACAATTTCTCACCAAATAAAAATGGAGCAAGAAATAACAATGTACTAAATGATTTTAAGGAATAACCTCTTGATTTAAACATGTTCCCCGATTACTAGCAATTTTCTACAAAATCTATGATTTTACCTGCTTTTCTAGGTTTTCCAGAAAGTGTTTCTCTGCCTCTCATGATTATAAAATACAGCTATCAAAATATCATATCTATCTTTGGGAAGCAGTAATATGAAATAAAATGAACTGTTCTTCACTTCTTCAAAAGAAACGACTACGATGACTTGGCAAGAAATCCATCATGGTGGACAATCTAAATGGCAAATATATGTCAATCATAATACGATTCTTTCTCTCAAGAACAGAAGAAACAAAATACTCTTCATTGATTACTCTCTTTCAAAGAATTACTTACACCAGAAATTTTTATTACAAGTACTACCATTTATTTTAGACAAATGAATCATAAACATGGGGAATTAAACCAATTTTCTACTCACCAGAGGAACAGGAACGTTCTTCCATCTCTTCACCAGCTCTGGGAAAACCATTCACGCACATCACCAAAGGGTCCTGCATCACAAACTCAGAAGTTGAGGTATTTGACAACACTTTTTTAATATATGAAGACCTCTAGCATAAATAATGATAATCCGCAAAACAAGGTTAGTAAAAATCAACATTTTTTTATTTCAAAGCAATCTAAATTTAAATATCCAAATTTGGTCAAAGACACCAAAAATTGAAGGGTCAAACAAAAAGGGGCCATCTCACATTGACCTAGTTTTCAGATACAGAGGGTTTTACTAGAACTTTCATAAAATAACTCAGAAACTGTTATAATTTGTAAATATTTTCTTTATCACCTTAAAATTTTTAATAATTCTTTGTAAAATTTACAATTATATTTTTTATTTAAATCAATGATTTTTTGTGAATGATTTAAATCATTGAAGCCCTGCCACAAACTGAGGATTTTCACTTACAAAATTCACTCAACTACATCTTTCTTCTGGTCCAAATAGTTTACAAATATTCTAATAAACAATTTGGTTTTAATTCTACAACAAACCATGTATCACTACAGTAAATAATAATAATTCTCATTTCCCAGATGATGGCCCAAACATACAGAATTAAGGTTTATTATTATTTACGCCCAAGGTAATCAATTTTTCATAAAACTAATCAACAAAAACTAAAACAAGCAATTCAGAACTCTTAGAACAATGAAGTTCTAGATTTCCCCAAATTTGTAGAGACCCTCAAAATAACACCTAACATTCTTGCAGTAATAACTATTAATATACCTTGAAATGCTATGAATCTTATTACTGCAGAGACCAAAAGTTAAAAATTAAGGTGGAGAGTAGCAGAGCTGAGACTTTTAATTTGAATGAGGCAGAAATAACACTAACATTTCATGATATGTTCAGCATTTTGTCCGTTACCATTAAATCTCGTGATTTATGTGAAAACTTACAATGTTATGGCGATAGTAAACAAATAAGTTAACATAAACAAAAAACAACTATAGTCCCAAAACAATTTTTTCAAGAGCGCAGAAAAAAAGTTTCATGTCAAACTTGGAACACATTAGAAGCATGAAAATTGTTGAGCACTTTCTCAAGCTATTGTAAATACTGATGAATGCTCGAGTATGGTTCAATTGTGGACTATATTGTAAAAATTATTAGATAAAATGGGTTTTGAATGGACTATGGCTTTTTTTTAAAAAAAATTGAGAAATCTGTACATCATAATTATTTACTTGGAGCAGTAATATTACAATATTTGAAGAAATAATGCAAGAATTTAATATTTATAAGTCTGTTCATATGTAATCATTAATTTCTTCTTAGTCCATGTAGTTGGAACAGACTATTATTGTTGGAATTAAATAATTCAAGGAAATATGAATTTATTAATGCAATATTTTCAAGGATATTATACCTACAAACCTACACGCCTACAAACCTGGAAACATCTAATTATGTAGAAACAGGCCGTGAAAGCATACATTATATATCAGAGACTAGTTTGAAGAGCTAATATATTAATTGCATCATTAATATTACAATTAACAGTAATTATCCTCAAAACTAATGCAAGTTACTTTTATCCTAAATTGTTTGAATCTGATTTGTTTTGTCCATTGTCATGTTTTCGTTTTTTTCTTTCTTAATAAAAATTTGACTTTTGATGAAGTGAGGGTTGGTTATTTACCTTGCAAAGAATGTTAAAACCTATTGCTAAGGAATTTACATTTCTTAACATACAGGTAGGTACAGGTGCACTTCACAAACGTGTAGGACTACATGTTAACAGGGGTTAAAGACACATGTGACCAATAAAATTTATTCAACTACAATAGCAGTTGTAATCCTCACCTCGTATTCTTCCTGATATTCTTCTTTCTTAACCACAGAGAGCTCCAGAAAATCTGTCGCAGGTGGCTCCAGCTCCTAAGCACAGAACACAAATAATATCCATTTTCCTCAAATTCCTTACATTAGGACATATTAACAAGGCCTTTTTATCAAAAAAAAAAAACAACAACAACAAACAAACTATAAAACTAAATCAGCAAAGGGACAATGGATGAGAAAGCTTACTTCATCATCTTCATCCTTCAACACTTTCTTCAAAGTACTTCTTTCATGTACTTCCTGTGAAAGAAAACCATACATATTTATTATTTAACTTTACCAAAATCAACTTCATCATACACATATACTTAATCAACAATTATTATTGATCAAATTAATCTCTAATTCATTTTTTGTAAATAAAATCTCAATGTTATTGGTTGAAATCAAATTCCATTCTGTAATATTCAAAAATAATAGTACAAAACAACAACTAGCACATGGAAATTAAGTACTTTGTGTCAACAACCACAGTAAATAATTTCCAGTAGCGAATACAATGTAATACCAGTGACTATTCTGCTCTTAGATAATTGTTCAGTTATGTTTCAGAATTCACACATCAATCATTTCAAATTGTCAATTCACCATGAAGATTATCAGATTGAGATTATTGATTTCGTCATTCACCTGCTGCTTACTTTATAGAAATGTTGTTGCAGTGTATTTGTTCTTTTGATTTGTTTGTATTACTTTGTGTGCTGTATTTGAATTCATCAAGTTTCTGGTACAGACAAAACAGGGAAAAATATTCCTTGAATGTGAACCATACTGCGATTTTTCTACATCTGTCTGTAAAGTAAATCAGCTGTATTCGGTTTCAACCAATTGGAAGGTTGAACCCCACCATAGGAACGTCACTGTAATGACATGTAACGTCCCGAATGGATAGCACCGTAACAGCTGATGACCTCCCAGAGGCAGCTTTGAATAAATCACAGTATCCAGCTGTAACACAAATGATTCAAGTGACAACCAACAAATAAGAAACTGTCCTGGTTCAATATCGAACTCAATAATTACAAATTCTATACTTAATGAAGTTCAATTGAGTTACAGTTGAAGAAATTGGGTTCAAGAAAATTAATTAAAAAAAGTATGTTATGTATATTGCAATCTTGATTTTCCAAAGCTACCTGCACAATGGCGGTACCAGAGTTCTTGTGCATCATTTATAGAAAAGTTATGATACATTAAAAATACAATATTAATATTAATTAGTTTATTGATTTCTTTGGTGGAAAGGTCTAAGTATATGCCACTTGTGTTCTGGAAATCCTCAGATAAATTGACTCATTGCTCTGCAACTCCTGGGTTTATCAATAATTTCCAGAAAACTCATGGCATCTACCTGTCATTTGGTACAAAAACTTGTCATTTAGAAGAAGAAAAATATTGTCTTATTCAGAACAATGTTGTACATTTTTAGTGATCAATAACAGAAACATCTGAAAATGTCTAATGCAATAACTGAAACAAGACTTTAAGTTAAAGAATCGTGGAACGAATTTACAGAACTGTACGGGGCAACTCGAACTTCCTAGATCCACTTCGGACGCGCGAGAGGAAATGCTCATTCGTTTTTCTAGGAAATAGGTTTTCTTGTGGAGTTGTTAAATTGATGCAAGGGATCTCGGCTTAAAAGAGGTAGATTTATAAAAAAAATTAAAAAAACAACAACAGCAGAACGCACAAATTTGCAGACCTTTAAATAGGATTTTCTGATGGCGAAACACTTGGCTACACTTAACCTTCAATCTTTAGTAAAATGTACAACACAAACGTTTAGATGAGATAGTACTACCTAAGTAGTAACCTTACCTCCTCTACTTGAAATACGCTTTCAGCTAATACGAGTTCTTGTTCATCCATTTGTAACCCTTATCGTTAATCCCGAATGACGGGTGACGCATTCTTGCGCATTCTCATCTAGAGAAGTTGAGTTAAAGCACGAGCAAAATCTTGCGACCGGCTCTGCGTTGTGCTGCCCTCAACGTGGGCTAGCCATACTACAATTTTATGAATGAGCGGCCGGGGGGGAGGGGGAACACCCAAACCCTGAATTTACTAAGGGAACAAGATTTTTTACCTTCAGGAAGGTAGAATACGCAACGTACTAAATTTTATACGTAGATTAGGAATATCACAATAAAACTTCATGCACGTCATAGTTTTTAAATATACGGTATCTTTATACCGACCTTTGCTATTCATGCATATATATTAATTGCACCTAGAATCAATATGCAGAAAATCTATATAAAAATAAAACATTTCTTCAGTTTATCTATGCCACTTTCATTAGATATCAACAAAATATTAGAATTTCATGTTTCATTTTGCTTGCCTTCTTTATTCCAAAACTGTCGTCTATTCTCGCATGTGGTAAGGTATGTTCAGCCTTAGAATAATCATGATGTAAACAAATGCAAGTGCTTAAGGCTAAACGCACCGAAAAATACTTGTAGGAAAATTCAATAGATCGCAGCACTATCACAAGGGAATTTACTTTTACGATAACGTCTGAACCAATGGTCCCAATTTTCGATCTGTAAACGGCATTTGACGCCTTTTTAAAATAGAATTTACGCTACGAAGCCCTTTTCCCAAAAATCTAGCAAAATTTCGAATTTGAAATAAGTTCAAACTTCCGAGAAAAAATTTAAAATGTGGGCTTATTGCGCGATGGCGACATGCTTCCTAAATTCAACGCCGTGACAATCATGCAAATCGGACGAATAGGAGCGTCGTAAAGTGAAATTTACGAAAACACCTCGCCCCCTTCCCCTTCTTCGCGGTGCGTCACCCACCCGATTGTTGTGGGCCCTCTGTGGCGCGGGGGCACGACCAGGCCAGGCGGCGTGCGCCAGCCCCGGCAGAGTAGGCGGGACTAGCGGGATACGCAAGCCAGACAGTCGTTTCGGCTTTCGTCTCTTTTGCATCTCAGTCTATTTTTCCACTGATACCAAATTAGAGAATGCTATACTACCATTACTGACTGAGGTAAACGGTCTGTAAGTAGTACATAACTATATTTTTCACATATTTCCGTCTTCCTTCGAATACGATTCTTAAAATTGTTTGAGGCAATACTCAAAATATCGATTCGATTTGAAACAGGTTTTTAAAAAATGATCTAATTTTGTAAATATAAGCATTATTCCATCTCCTCACATCTTATTTTAGATATATTTTACTTCTAAGGTTTCTGTTAACTCCACCTTGCTCTAAGATCTTCCGGGTCAAATACCGGAAAGAATAGGCGGAGTATACGCACGAGCTCTTTTATCCTACAACTCGATTTTTGATCTCAAAACGATGTTTATCAGCTTTAATCTGGTTCATCTGGTGAATCTCCTTTCCCAAGTAAAATGGCCTATGCTAATTTTAAAAATGCTTTTTACCGAATAAATAAATGAATATTTCTTAGCACTTTTAGTTCTTGTAGTTATTATTTTTCCTTATGTTGTTGTATTCAGTACGTACTACCTTTATTTCGTATCCACATGGGAGAAAAGAACTTTAGACGTTCTCTATAGTTTACTATGTATCTGATGAAGTTAAACAGCTGAATTGGTCAAACATAACCTGATGACAAAAATCTCGATCGTCATAATTAAAACCAATCCATTCTGTCTCGCACCCTTTGTCTTCGCACTTGTGGATAATATTCCGTATCATTGCTGGAATCGTCTTCAAATACTATCATTCGTCATCGTCGAACAGTAATAGCACTTTGGAGGTACATGCACGTTGAAAACTGAATTTACTCCGTACTTTACCCGACGGATTTTCGCGGTGTAAAGTTACTCTCGAATTTACTCTCGTGTAAGCGATTTACACTCGAGTAAAGTGTTGGTGAAACGCTCCAAGAAGCTACTCTCGAGTAAACATGATTTACTCCAGAGTAAACTCTTACTCTTCGTTTGGTGAAATCGGCCCTTAATGCAATACATTATTAAAATTATCAAAATCGGCTGTTAGATCTGCTTTGACAACTAACAAAGTCTTGTCATATAAGAAAATACAATACGTACATCGTTCATTGTTTTATCCTCTTTGTAAAAATTCAAATGTATAATTTTTATTTCAAAATTTTTACTCCTCACCCTGGCAAATGTGGTAGGCTGAGGCTGGAGATGTTAACAGTAGGTTGTTAATATTTTCTAAAAGGACTTAGGAAACTCATTTTGATTTTGTATAGTTTGACTTTAAATTATCTAAGTGGATAAAGTTTATTAAACTTCAAATGGATTCGGTGGAAATCTTGTATCCTTCAAATAAATAATCATGCAAATAAATGGAATTATTTTTTCACTTATACGTTTGCTTTTTTTGTATCACCTTTCATCTATTTTCTAATTGACTTTTATATTTAGTTAATAAAATTATTGAAGGTATGAAACGTTCCAATTTTCATTTTTAAGTCTAAAACTTGCACAGTGATCATGAAAAACCATTTATCTTTCATTAATTTGAATATACTATTTAATATCTTTTGAATGACAAGTGAGTACAATAATTCATAGCAGTTTTCAACCCATTTTTTATCTTTTAAGAACTGACTTGATTTCCATATTTAAGAAATTTATCTGAAGTTACTGATCAATTGAATTAACTGAGAGTTCTGCTAAACAGTACTCCAGAATATCTACTAACTTAAAACCTTTTTCCCAAAGAAATCTTTGAATGTAGTGTGAAAATTTTCCAAGATTGTACAATCAGGAGAAGCCAAAATTATGAAAAGAAAATAGAAAATTCATGGTAATTTTATGTTAATTATATATGTCCCTTAAGCCTTGTTTCATTAGTCAAGAAATGAACAAATTATAGTATTTAAGTATTATTACAACGAATTCACAATTAACTAATCATATATGTAAGTCACTGATCAATAATTGATACACTGACTGCCAGTCAAATAATGAGCAAGGTGAAAATGAAATCGTAATTCCAAACACCAGATATCAAAACTGCAAAACATTATACAGCACACATTAATTTGAATCTTCTGAACACGCAAGATCGAAAAGTACCGGCAGAATTCCGATAGTTTTTTAAAAGGCCTACGCGAGAGCTTTGCAGTATATTCCATATCATTCTCGTATCTGATGGCTTGATTAAATCAATCACACATGTTCTCAACAGTATTTCGAAATTTTTGTATAAATTGTTCATTAAGTATAATTTTTCATCATTAATGATACGGAATTAAATGAATCTCTCGTCAAAACTGTTTTTATCCTTCAGGCGATGAAAATTCACTCAACCGCGGCCACCTGTTAATGCTATATGATACACAATGATTTGTTTGCCAGCTGTCTTCCAAGAAATCAGACAAACCAACCGCCGAAGACGGATCACTCTTTACCACGACAATGCGAGCTCTCACACACCGGCTCAAACAACTGCATTTTTAAGCACCCAAAACATCTATTTGATGAGTCATCCGCCGTATAGTCCTGACTTGGCATGCAATGACTTCTTTTTATTCCCGTACGTAAAAAACCAACCGGTCAACGTTTTTCGATACCTGAAGAAGCGGGTGCTGCATTCAGAATGCATGTTTTGGAAATAAAGATTTTGCGGGTTAAAGCGGCACCGGACCCCTCAAGTGTAGAGTATATTTTTTTGAAAACAAAAAACAACTAAATCAAACAAACTATAATGTAATGATAAATTTAAAACTTCATGTTTTCACTTTTTTCTTCTTTTGAAGTAATTAAGGATAAATATGTCGCTTTACAATTTTGGTTTAAAGTAAAAACTTCTAACACAATATTTAAAAATATAATTTACATCAAGACAATCTGAATCATAAGAAAAGCAGATAATACTCTTGGATATTCCCTACACGCACCACAATGAATGCGCACAACCTTACTTTGAAAATACGCGCCAAAACGCATTAGCTGCGCTATCTGCACCAGGCCCGTGACTCAGGAAACAAACTTAGTCCCCCGCCTTTTCACATTGAGTGAACCGGCTCTGTCTGTTATAGAAGCTGTTATCAAAGAGTATATATCAGAGACGGCACTCAATGTTAAAAGGAAAAGTCTTATTTGCTCAACTTCCGGTGCCGCCATATTGTTCTGTATAATTTCTGTATTTCTGTAATATTTGTATCTCATCTTCAATAAATGCAACAAAGTAATAATTGAGAAGGCTAGAATAAGCATCTGCTGCAACTTGCTGTGTAGCAGCATGTTCACAGTCATTAGAACCTGTAATTAATCACAACAAATTATTGCTCAATCACATTATACTTTCATAGACATGCTCGTTTTTGCATACACAACGCAAGTAGACTTACCATTTTCAGTTTGAAAAGCTGCCTGTGTACAAGGATCTTGAAAAATTAGAAAATTGCTGGTATGCAAATTGCCTCCC